GGTAAGTGCCAGTGTTTCTACTGGTCCCTGGGAATGCCACATGTGGGAAACTTCACAGTGCACAGTTACCTCCTGCAATGGTGTAAAACAACTAGGGACACTACTGAATCAGAGAATAGCCAAGCCCCAGCATGCATGCAATCTAAACTGGCAGGCTAAGCCATTCTTAACTCCCCAGTGATGCCCCACAGCCCACTGAGATATAGTTTCCTAGTGGAAACTAGAAAATTTGCCTTTCACCCCCTCAAGTAGTCAAGTGACATGGAAGCTTATATTTATAGGGACTGAATCAGCAATTAAAAACACACTGGGAAATGGTGGAAAGTACACAGAAATTCAGTACAAAGAGACAAAGAAATAGGTCAAAGTCATTTAGTGAGGTCAGAAGATCTTGTTTCTGAGCCTACCAACCAAGGCTGGTTAAAAGGCACTTTGGAAGATAAGTTGAGGGCAGTTTTTATTTTATAGATTCCTGTGGAAATTATGATCATCAAGGGTATCATTATTCTACTATTAGTACAGTAGTATAGCAGCAAAGAAATAAAAGGGGGAAAGCAATAAAATAAGTCAGACAGAAATATTACAAAGTAGGATAGTTTTTATAGGGAGAGACATTTTTCAGAAACATACTTAAAAGTTAGGGAATCACGGAGTGGGCAGGTTGCCTCGGAATGGGAATCTGCGAGAAGAGAGAAAGGTCTCTAGGTTAGTTAGTAGAGATAAGATGAGTTAAGGTAATATATTTAGAAAAGAGTGCACTGGGCGAGCGGATCTCGGGAGCAGGCTGTCAGAACAATTGGAAGCCCTGACAGAGTGTAGACTGTCTCACATTCTTGCAACTCTCAGGAATGAGGAGAGCTACTAACCCAGAGGGAGTTGAATTACAAAGCCATAAGCTCTCGGCAAAGGTCAAACTGAGCAAGCAACACTCCTTATGATAATGACGCCATGAGAAACACACAAAGAGAAAACTCTGTGAGAGGAAGTCAATGGTATTGTAGTCGGAAGCTGAGCAGCACGTGATCTCGTTGGCGTCACCTTGCAGAAGAGTCCGGGGAAGTCAGTGCAGGAGAAAGGATGAGGTGAGAAGAGCTGGAATTTCCTACAGAGCGGCTAGGTTGGGACTGGCGTGCTCACGAGCACGCGCAGAGCAGCGGTTTTCCCTTCTTGTCTACATCAGCGCCCCTGTACTCACTCAGTGGGTGCGTCCCCAGCAGTCTCACCTCTCTTACCAGAGGCGTTCCTGCCTGGAGGAACCTAGGCCTGAAGACGAGTGGGACTCATTCTCCTCTGCAGGCCGTTGAGGGATTGGAGCCGTGGCCAGGCTGCCCCAGGCCAAGGGTGGGTGGAACCAGGAGCCAACCAGCTTATGAACTGGCAGTGTGGCAGAAGATCCAGGGAGCCGAGTGAAGGCTTTGGGTGCAGCTGGAAGAAACATCACGGACTAGCAAATGGATAACAAGAAAATGAAAACAGATTTAAAATTAAAACAGAAGGGGCTGGTAGTACAGGAGGAGGCTCAGAGAACTGGGAGGCTAAATATGCAAATAGACAATGGCCAGATCAGACATATACATAAAAATAGAACCTTGAGCCACAACCTACAGCAACCTGCCTGGGAAACCAACCTCTTATCTACAATCACCAGCACAGAACACCAACCTGCTCTAAGTCAGACTTGTAAGAAGTCAGGCTGCTACCTCTAGTAACAACCCAGGAAGCTAAACAGTAACTTCTACAACCAAAATGGTCAGGACTTTGTTAATAGCTGCCAGCTCCCCTAACTTTTGTCCCCAGTTCTGATTTAGGACCAACCAGAGAGAGCCAAATACCCAGTCTTAGCCAATCACATAGGATGCCCCACTGCCAGTCAGGCAGCCTCCAGCCAGAGCACACCTGGGCAGTCCTTTTCCCACCAGTGCAGTGTTCCCACTGCCTGCCTTTGAGTCTCTGCCAAACACAGGTGACATGGCTGACTGTCTTGCAAGCTCTGAACAAATTAGCCTGTTTGTTCTGATGTGTTTGGTCTCTGTTTATCCCACAAACTAAAATCAGGATAAAGAGTAGGTTCAGGATAAGTGAGAAAGAAAGAGGAGTAGACCTGAGCTGTGAAGAGAAGAGGGGGATTTCTGATTCTTTCAAAGGAATGGGGGTAGGTTTGATATTTCCATATTGCTTGTTGTAAGTTTCCTGATGCTTTGAGTTTACGCAACTTATACTAAATCCTCATAAAACCTTGTAAGGCAGATTTTTTTTAACCTACCATTTTTAAGGGAAATAAAACTAAAATAGTCTTCATAACAAATCACAGGCAGAACCAAGTCCAAGGCCAGGTTTACTCTTTTCACTATGTCAGGCCACGCCCCCAACCCTCTGACGTTCCCACTGTAGTTCTGACCACAGAGTATTGCCACGACTGTCTCATCAACTGTATTGTAACAACTCCTCGTTCAGTCCTTAGGTGCCCCGCTCACAGGAGATGAATGAACTAATTAAATTATCATCTAGCCCACGTTTACAGGGCTAGGAAGTGATAGGATGTAGATGTGAATCCAGATCTTTCTGATTTCAAAGTCCATGGTCATTCATTGCAGTAGGCTAGCTCGGAAGGGAGATAGTTCGCTGGCAGGAGCAAAGGTGATGTGGATATTACATATATTGACTTGAGGCGGTTAAAAACAGTAAGGCTAGGGTGCTGGGAAGTAAATTTTAGAGTCACTAAAGACAATAGCAAGGGGTGGGACTGACTGTCGTGAGGTCTGTTAGCCAGGCACAAAGGAAGGCGGGGGAGAGTTCTAGAACTTAGTAGGTAATGTCACCTACAACGATAAAGAGGGAGCGGATGGGGCCGGCTGAGTGGCTCAGTTGGTTAAGAGCTCGCTCAAGAGTGTGAGCTCTGAACAACAGCGGTTCGATTCCCGGTCTGAGCTGAGCTGCCGCTGAGCTGCCAACAGGTGGCAGGATGGCTCAGCTTAAAAAAAAAAAAGAGGGAGTGGATGATGTTAGAAAAAATTTCATCAAATGAAAATGAGAATGATTAAGAAAAGAGAGTGGGACAGTGGACTGTCCCACTTGAGATCGGGACTAAATTGGGGTACAAGGACTCCCAGTTGCCCAACCTCCATCCTGAGTGTTTGAGAGAACAACCAGAGGTCCTCAGGATGGGGGCAGACATACCAGAAGTGCCTGCTGTACCGCTGAGAACATATTAATAGAACAGAAAGACAGGACACAGCGGAAGAGGCTGAAGGAGAGAGAAAGATCCGGAGAAGCTGCAAGCTCTAGAAAAGATGGCTGCCAGGAGGACTGGCACCTAGCAACCAGGTCATGATTCCAACTACCCAGGTGAAAGGCAGCAGGGGAATGGGTGGTCATTGGAAGAGTATGTTCTAGATGGAGGGAGAAGCAGTGTTGCATCATCAGGATTTATTAATAGTTAACGATTGAGATGGAAGAAATCACCAGACCCCCAATCCAGCTGCAGGAGTTCCAAGTAAATATTAAATTATAGCTTCCGCCAAGTGAAAGAGGCACAGTTCTAAGGCTCCCTCTTTTTTTGTTGAAAGCTACCATTGATAGCTGGTAATGCATGTTAAAGGTACTGGGTATTTTGTCTTAAGGGAATTGTTATAGTTTGACCTTTATAAAGTGGCTTTCTAAGGTGCTGCAGTTTGCCATGTAAATACCCAGCAGTCTTCATCACAGGCTGAGGTGACAGGGGCAGAGCCACTCCACTAAATGGGCCCCTTGTCCACGGGCTGTTGGCATCTGTCGAGTAGCAGAATTAGCACAGGTAGTGATGCACGTGGAGTGTTTGGGGGGAAGGGGATGACCATCTATTCTTGTTCTTCGCTTCACTATGCTCCCAATACAATGTTCATCCCCAGTTTAGTCTGGGAAGTAAATATACTTTGGAGCACCTTTCAAACATGAAGGAATAAATTTAAAATGTATACTGATTTCTTTCTTGTGTCCTGTGTTCTGTATATAATACTGCTGCCTGGTAACGAGACTATAACGTATCATGGGTTAAAAAGAAAACAAACTTCAATTGTCTTTTTCAGACATTTTTGTGTGTGTGTGTGCCAGACATTCAACCTTCAAGGCAAAATATCCACAGGATCAAACTTACATACACATTACCAGCTTGTTGATTTTAAGCTGGAAAAGACGGGCACTTAGACTAATGCCTCCCACGGGGGAAAATTATAAGTAAAACTCATTAAAAGCTCAAATTCATAATGACCGTGGTAATTTTGTGGTCTGACTTCAGCTTTGCGGCAACATGTATATAGAAATAGGCCTCGTATCCATCTGCCCTCTCTTGATACTTTTCTACACCCTCCTCATGACCTCCAAGAAAAAGTAGCAGCTCCACAAAAACAGAATGAGATTCATGGGACAGAACCACGTTCTGATGGCCCTGCCCTCATCAGGAATGACCCTGGGGAGACGTTATTTGCTGTAACTGCAGAGGCATAATCCAGAAATATAACGGTACCGCTGTTGTCATTTCTAGATTAATTACAAACTGTGCCATGTTGGGGTAGATTGAAGAGGCCCACGTGTTCTCATAGTCATGCGGATTTATTTAATTCCTAATTTGAAGCTGGAATTTTTCCTGAGATGTGTGCTTTGTAACTTCCATTTGATGTGACCAATGTCACCAGCACAGTGTCCCCGTCCATTTGGGGCCCTCCTTTCTGCGAGTCTCATCATGGGAAAGACCAAAACCTCATCCGCAGACTGTACATTTCATTTGGTCCAGCATCCCTCTGTACAGAATATGTTCCAACTGTAAAGCGAATTAAATCATTGCTCATTTTTATCTCCTTGGTCTAAAAGTAAGAGTAGCCGTGGACCGAGGGTCAGGCCTCAGCGTAACCCGAGGGGAAGTCAGGTGATCATGTGTGTTTGTGACATTGTTCTCCCCACTGTCCAGGGCCCTCTGGCTTTCTTGCCCACCCCCTAAAAGAGAATTTTTGTTTGTTACCTCTTACCGACATTTATTTTGGCAATTTTTTTCTGAGAGTCCATCCTCATCCTCTCCCATGATGTCCACAGCCGAAAATATCAACGCAACGAGAATGGCAAAGCAGCAGACCAGGGCGAAGATTACAATGCACTTCTGCTGGGACTGCAGGAGAGAGAGAAGATGGCCAAGTCAGAGAAGCAGCTCTCGCTTAGGAAACCCAAGATGCCACAGCTTCTCCAAATGCCACGGACATGCATGGGGAAACAATTACTTTCCTCACTGCCAGAGAAGGGTGCTCTCTGGGTGAAAACGCCTAAGATTTTTATGCTTGTTCCTCACACAGCCTTCAGCACCTCCCCCCTTCACTAAACATGTTAGAATCTATTAAATAATTCAAGCACTGTATCAAGCACTGTATCAAGACTTCCAAATGAGCTTGCTTTTTCTAATCAAAGGCAGTTCAGAAAAAGTTCACCACGAGATCCATTATTGCAAATTAAAAATGAAATGCAGGGTGCTTCAATAATATTCTCTGGCTCCTGTTATTACCACCACCTTCCAAACGCTATGCAAACTGTCCTTAAACTCTATACCCTCTTGCTTTTCCCGTCTCATCTAAGACCTTTATAGTGATGGCTTCAGGAGGGATGCCTGTGGGTGGTCGGTTTGTGTTCTGTACTTTGATCTGAGCATTGGATCTATCAGATGCTAGCTTCATGACTCATTTAACTGATGCTCAATTAACCACATGGTCAATTAACCATACTTCATTTCAACACACTGAACACAATCATAACCAATAACCGCACTCTTGATATGATTTTCTCTTAGAAACACAGCTGTAGGTCCAGAAGGTCAAAGCCACTCATGCCCTTATTTTTAAGTCGAAGTCTTATTATAATCCAAGACACCCCTATCTCCAGCAGGGTTCATGGCCAAAGGTGGCAGAAGATAAATCCATGATAACTGGGCAGGGGCCATGGCCAGTGGGACAAATAATTTTGCCTGCACTGAATTTATCAGATAAATCTGGATGGGAAAAAAAGAGAAATAACTATTTTAAAAACTCCTTTATGTATTATTTAAAGCAGGGGAAAGGCGCGTCTTTGACCAAGCAGTCAGAAGTACTCCCTTAGGGGTGAGGTGCATCTGTGTGCACACGCACACTCACTGATACAAACATTTCAGAGCTTTGTCGAAAGCAGCTGGCTTGGCCTCCTCTCACAACCCTCCTTTTAGCCCTGTAGTCACATGATCTCCAAAGAACCATGCAACCTCCCAAAGTTCAGAGTCCAGTGTGTCCAGGGGCAGCCTCAGGTTACAGGTTATAGGGAAAGATGTCATCACGGAACAAATGCTGCTTCTGTGACCAGGTTCATGAGGTTTTCTTTCTTTGCCGTGTTCTCTAATCCTCCCTCGGGTCTCCTCTCCCAGTAGAACCTTGTTCTAAGCCAGTTCCTGCCAGTCATGTTCTTCCCCTACTCCACTCAGAGGGGGAATTGGGGGAATGCCCAAGGAAGACACAACCACTGTTCTACCGTAAATCCTGGTTATCTCTAAGGCATGGATTATGTTTCATTCTTTGTATCCCCAGCAACCAGCATAGCGCCTAACAAACAGAAGGTGCTCAAGAAATAGTTATTGTGTAAACAAATACAAAGTGAATAAATGAAAGGAACATCACAAGGGCGTGTTTCCAGAGTGGCATGAGGTGTTTCTCTCAAGACTCAGTTGCTTCCATGTTTTGGAGATGGTAACTTTTATAGCTCATCCGTTTCCACTCTCTGCTGGAGCTAGAGCTAAATCTACGCGCCATGTTTACCAACCATGTAAAAACTGGCAGAGTAGATTGTGTATTCATCTTGCCCCTTTATTTTCCATTCATCCCCAATTCCTTCCTCACTAATTGTATTTTTAAGATGATGCACAGAGAATGAGTTTAAAGCTGAGACTTTGGAATTAGATTGCTTGGATTCTGTCACTTACTGGTTTTACGAGTATGCCCTTGAGCGAGTTATTTTGTGCTTTAGCTTTCTTGTCTGTAAAATAGGGGTGATGATGATGACAATAACAACAACAATAATAGTAATAATAAACTGCTTAGAGGGTTGTTACTAAAAATTAAATTAAATGAGATACTAGATGTACAGTACTTAGAACAGAACCTGAAAAATAGCGCTAAATGAGTGCTTGGCTGTCGTTATTATGTTGCTATTGTATATGTACCTTTGTAAGGTGCTTCAAATATTTTGGGGAAACAAGGTAAAAATATGAATAAACAAAAAACATGTAACAGAGAAAGGCAGAGAGATAGCGAGACAGAGAGAGAAGGATGGGAAGAAATCTGACAAAGAGAGAGAGAAGAATATTACCAGCCCAGAGTACTCTGCTGAAAATCAGACCCATACTGAATGAGTTTCTCTGCCACGGCACCAAAAGGGGAATTCCGGCAGTGTCCACCAAGCTCTCTAAGTCTGAGAGACACCGTTGGGATTTTAGAGAGCCCAAATCAGTTAGCGTTGACAGGTTAAAGTACTAGAGAGATGGTTGCCAGATGGGAGGGGGTTGCGGATAAATAAGGGGAAGGGATTAAGAAGTATAAATTGGTTTTTTCACAGTAGTCATGGGGATGTAGGGTACAGCATAAGAAATACAGTCACTTATATTGCAATAACTATATATGGTGTCAGATGGGGACTGGATTTGTCAGGGTGATAGATGGGAGGGGGCTGGAGGCAGGGTGAAAAAGGTGATGGGATTAAGAAGTACAAATTGGTAGTTACAAAATTGTCATGGGGATGTAAAGTAAAGCATAAGAAATATAGTCAATGATATGGTAATAACTATGTATAGTGCCAGGTGGGTCCTAGACTAGTCAGGGGGATCACTTCTTAATTATATAACTGTCTAACCTCTATGCTGTACACCTGAAATTAATATAAAATAATATTGAATGTCAATTGTAACTGAAAAATTAAAAAGGGAAGGAAAGGTAAAGGAATTAAAAAAAAAAAAAGATCTAGAGACTTCAGATTTAGAGACCTAAATGAAATCCCCAGACTTAAATCTCTAACTGGCTGGGTGACCTTGGACAGCTCAAAGCCTCAATGTCTGAGTCTTCATTTCCACATCTTTCACATGGAGAATAATTGTACTGGAACAGTCAGCTCTGTAGGTATTAAAAGCTGTACACATAAAAATTGCGTTTTCAGACCTGGTCATGATTTTGTTTTGTTTTAAATCTGGTCATGGTAAATAAATAAAAAAAATGTGACTCAATTATTATCATTATATTTTGAATTTCATCAATAAAAAAACCTGCAGGGCGGGGGGGAATGTGAATAACCTTAATTTATGGTTAATTTTTCCACATTTACATTTTACCTCTAGGCACATGGTTGCAAATTCCTTTTCAGAGCTTGTCGAGTGATATAAAAGCCCAAGTTGGAAATACATAGTACTTCTAATTTTCCAGTTTAATACCCTTTCCCCATTTTGAGGTCATACATGACTTTTTCTTTTTTGATGTAAAATGTATTTGATAAGGATATGATATTCAAATAGTTTCCATATTTCCATAATTAGATTTATTTCTTGACCAAGCAAGATAGAAAATAGCTTCAATATAAACTACAATGAAAAGTACAGATTGATGCTAGATTATAGCATTTTAAATTTTGTTCTCTTAATAGGTTGAGCTGATCAGTGAAGTTTAGGTGTAATCATGTTTCTGGGTTCTCCTTAAACTTTGCTTCCCTTGATTCAATTCAATAAAAACAGAAAAGTGAGTTTCAAATTGATTCCTCAGTGATTTGAAATGGTATGTTAAGGATTTGAAAACAAATAAGTATCTTGGTAACCTGAAGTTTGTTGTCACTTATCAGGCTCTTATACTATCATAGGAATAGAATCTTTTGCTTTTAATGAGATGGCAGAGAAATGAGACTAAGGAAAGCAGTGGTATGATCTTATAGTACACTATTGCAAGCAGAGATTTAAAAATGAATATCAGAGTCTGAATTTTTCTTCATTGAAAAATGAAATGAAAATAACTAGCTCAATTGTTTGTCCTAATAGAATTTGATAATGTAGAATTGAATTAATAGAAGTTAATAGAAATGTTTGAGGGCTATTACATCAAAGTACTTCCGATAGCACACAGATTAACTACAGTTCTTGTTTACTATTTTACCATAAAATCCAGAATAAAGGGGAACAAATCAGTGTTGTTGTAGACAACGCATTTAGAATTAACTTCTTTAGGATTCACTCGTCCCACCATGTACCTGACATGGTATATTCATGCTACTCTCTCCAGGATTCTTTTTGAGATAATGTTTAGTTTTATTGTCCTGGGTTAGAATCTCTTCTGGACTGGATTACTGTGAATATCATTGGATTACTTTAACCCTTTCTAAAAGCTTTTTGTTTGTCTGTTTCTGTTTATAATTTATAGGGGAGACAGATAAAATAAAAAATGTTTAATCACTTGTTTCTATTGTAAATGAGCACTCTTAAAAAATGGTGGGTTTTTTTAGAATAAAGGAGACAGTGATATATCCATGAATGGAATATTATGCAACAACTTAAAACTATGATTTAAAAGAACATTTAATGACATTAAAATAAGATCAAGTACAAAAAGTAGAATATAAAACTACACAGAGTATGATACCACCATTATTAGATAGGGAGATGTAGTATAGCAAAGACTACAACAAAATGTTAATGGCTGTTGTGTTTGAATGGGACTATCAGTGATTTATTTTCATTTTTATATCATCTGATTTTTCAAAATAGTCAACAGCAAACATTTTCTGAATGTATAAGTAATGAATATTAAAATAAATAAAAAGTAAAGGGCAAGAGAAAAGTCATTCAAAATTTAAAACATTGTCTAAAATTATTTTTAAACCCCCACAAAGAAAATAAATTAAAGATTTATATTATATTAGTAGGGTATATTCATCATGATCCCTTTATTGTTTGAAAATGGATTAAAGGCAGGTGAGTTTGAAGGATGAACATGTGTTAAGCAAGATTTAGTATAGACGGTACTTTATACCTGAAAGTGTGGCCCCTGGACCAGCAGCATTAAAACCTCCTGGGAACTTGTCACAAATGCACATCCTTGGGCCCCAAAATGCTGCTTTAGAGTTTTG